AAGTCAATAAGAAATAGGTGATATAGGTTAATAGGACACATTCTCAGGCATAAAGGGTTAGTTAGAAATATATTAGAAGCAGAAACAGGACTCATGGGGAGTAGAGGTAGACCACACTCTTTTCTACTGATGAACGTAGAATGCTGTAGTTTCATATGTTACGGTTAATACACATAACTCGGCTAATTAAGGTTGGGTTATGGTTGAGAAGGTTTATCTAGGTTTCCTTTTAATTCAGGATAGCTTTCCCAATCTTAACCTAACCTTTAACAAGTAAAAAAATGCGTGGAATGCGTGTTAATCCGCGAATAAGGCCATTTCGCTTATAAACGGTACATATTATAAACTAGATCTTTTATAGTATAGGTAACAAAATAAAATAAATACGAGATATAGCATCTCAACTTTAATATTTTTTTTATAAATTTGCATAAGGAAGGTATATGAAACTGTGTCGTCTGAAAAAAGATGATCTGGTTGTGATGCATCAATATAAACTCATTATTCGATTAAGTGGCACGATACAGCGAAAGTCCTTATTGTTTAAAGTAAACTAGGCAGTAAATTAAGAAAATTATTATTTGTCAAGTTAGCATGTTGAAAAGTAAGAAATCAGAAAGTATTTTCTAATGATGACATACATCAGGATTCGTATTCACCCTAATAATTTTGATAAAAAACAAATACAACTTGTACAACTTTCATTTAATAGCCGATTCTTTTTACGAGATGATAAAATCCTTTAGAAAATGAAAGAATTAGTAAAAGAAAAGTTGGCGGCCGTTGTTGTATAATGAGAATACAACATAAAACTAACGGGCGGTTACTGATCGTCATTTTACTGATTTTTTTAAATTCAACTTTATATCGAACTTACTTTTTGAATATATAATGACACAACCTTCACAGGGATACTTTTACGGATTCCTCAGAATTATTAAATATATTTGCTCATGCAATTCCTTATTTATTTCCGATACAAATATTATGAAGGGCAGTTTGTTTATTTGTAAATTGGTAGTGTCAGTCTGGCTGTAGAGCACGTAATTATTATCATCACTTCTTTTACTGTTATGATGAATTAACATTTTTGTTTTCGTACCCCGTACGTTTTCGTTGTTTTCGTTAGCCCCCGACTAGCCGGCATCTGCCGGTGCTTTTATTAAACAAAAAGGACGCACAAATGAATTTTTTTGGTACAAACTTACGAGTGTTTATGCAATTTAAATCAAAAAGATTACAGTGACAGTAATGAAAATGAAAAAATATGGGAAAGTATTTTGTTTTGGCGCTTTTCCTGTTTTCCTTTACTTTTTCATCTGGTCATTTTCTTGTTCCAGTAAAAGAGTCCCGAGATAAAAATGTTCAGCCTCTCAGAGTTTCTGAAAGCTAGACTCGAGTCTCCGTCTCTCATCGAGTCTCTCTGATGTCGCTGAGAGAGACTGTCGAGAGACTGCCAAAAAAACTGTTTAGCGTCTCTGAACGAGAGACTCGAGTAGCTCATAAAGAGAACCTCATTTCGTATCCAGACTCTGAACGAGAGACTCGAATCTCTGAGCGAGAGACTCGAATCTCTCAATAAGTGGTATCTCGATAGACATGGTTAANATAGTATTCTAATAACTGCATTTATTTTTGTAGTCTTAATAAATTAGGACACAAAATTAACAAATAAATTTGGGTCTAAAGGCCGTGTGTCCAATCGACGACGGCCTTTAGAGCTTTAGACCCGAATCAGAACAGCATCAGTTCACCTACTGGCCGTGAAAGCCTTTACCAATTTGTCACAAATAAATTTATTTCTTCAATTTTTTTACTTCCTTAAACCAGTATGCCCGTCAACCCAACACCGATTATCACGTAAAGTTCATGCAGTACAAACAGGCCTTGCAAGCAGCAGATATTGAAAGGGAAATTCGAGAGAAAGCATCCAACGCCAAAGATAAATTTGAACAAAAGTTCATAAAACACTCTGATCAACGACTTTTTAAAAATGAAATTGAAAAACGCGTCAAGGAGCGTTTGGAAATATATGAAAAAACAATTGAAGAACGACGTACCAGGTAAAAATCAACACAATGTGGTAAAAATCCATTTACCTTTAATAAATAATAAATAATAAAACTTTGTTGGGCAGGCTACCATACAGTAACATATTTTTCTATCGAACTTTATCTGTTATTTCGTTCAGTTATCACAAATAAATATTATTCAAATATCAAATTTAATGAATAATTATTAACCTTTGCGATCCAATAACATAACGGTACGCATCGTTAAACGCCAATTCTTTTTCATCCCTTTCCCTTCGGATTGAATTTTTTAACATCTTCCAATCTTAATTTGGTAATTCGGTCTTAATCAAGTGTACATAATTTTTTTTTCTATTTCACCTGCTGAATTTTAGTTGTGACCGCACATTTTTACTGTATACGGGAATCATCTCAGTTAGCATACTAATTCCGATAAGACAAACACACGAACTTTTCTGAGGAAGCCAATGTTGAATTAGAGTCATCTTCGCTGAGGAAATTACATGGTCCTTTTTAAGCAATGTAATAATGCATTAAATGCAAAATCAATAATTGGCTATACTTTAAATATCTGTTATTGTAAGATTGAAAAGTACGGTTGACTTTGCAATTTAGTTCACATTCGTAAAGTATAGGTACCTAATTAGTGGTTAATATCATACTTTTGTTTTCTTGAATAAGGACTTCCTATTTAGTTAAAAACAACATATAAATAAAACTAAACTAATGTAAATAAGGGTTCGTATCCTTAGTGAAACCTTAAGGTCAATCCTTTTCATGTGAAAAACTCTTATAACACAACCTTTGTAGCATTCTCTAGAAATTTTTTGACTTACTGAAGTTCTACCTATGCCTGAGTACCCAGAGGTTAAATATGAGATTTTTGAAAAACTTGACTCTGTATATCTTTTACCATTCATAACGAAAACTTAGTGATTACAATCATCATAACGTCGTAAGTCCTAAGACTGGTTGGACGCGCATGTCCAGTCTTTCCTACCCTGAGCTAATGTTCGCATTTGCCTAAAACTAGAACAACCCACATCCTTAACTATTTGGGAACCGTAATCTAATCTAGGTTTACTTCTACCCCGCCTAACTTCTGTTTCTGCCTCTAATATGTCTCTGACTAGACCTTCATGCCTGAGAAAGTGTCCTACCAACCTATCTCGCCAATTTCTTATTGACTACCATAGACTCTATTCTCCTATTCTTTCTAATAGCTCTTCATTTCTAACCTTCTCTATCCATGATATCATCATCATTCACCTGTAACACCACATTTCGAACGCTTTTAACATTTTCTTTTCCGCCGCACCCACTGTCCATGTTTCGCACCCGTACAGTGCCGTGCTCCAAACATACACCTTTAACAATCTTTTTTGAATTTCTAAATTAACCATTCGCCAGCTTAGAAGTGACTTTTTTTTTATTGGAGGCAACTTGACCCTGCGCTATGCTCTGCTTTATATCCCTACTACTCCTTCCGTTGTGATTTATCTGACTTCCTGGATACCTAAAATCTGCCACTTCTTCTAATTTTTCGTCTCTTATCTTTATATTCGCTCTTTCCCTACTTTTTCTTCCCTTGCATACCATAATATGTTTTTTTATTTATTTTCATACAGTACTGTTTTTGTTTTTTATTTAAAGCAATCTCTAACTTTTCCTTGCTAGATGCCAATACTGCTATAAGTAGTTACAATGCCCAATTTTAATTCAATTATCCGTATCTAGTGAGCATATATTAGGTACATAAAGTATTATTTCATGGTAGTCACTAATTGCTTGTTTTCAATGTCTAATAACTAATAAGATATAAAAAAAACATAGTGAATGTTACAATGATGATAATAATGCAATTAGATAAAATAGCTAGTGCTCCTTTTACTTTTCGAGATTAAGAGAGCTCCTCGGCGAAGAAGAGTGTGCACATTATCGGGAAACTGTGGAGAATGCAAAGAGATTGTGTGACTCTAAATTTGGCATGATGAAGCGACAAGTTGAAGAGTTGAAAGCTAAAAAAGAAGCTGAAAGATTGAAAGTTGTAGAACAAAAACGTCTCCAACAGTACATGTAAGCACTTTAAGAAATTTTGTTTACGTAAACCTAAAACTTGAATACTTGTTATAGTTTCAAAAATGGTGAATGCGCCTGACATTGTGTTAAATGTAGCTATTGTCTAACAAATAAATAGGGTAATTACCATAATATATAATTATAATATAGAAACAGAGTATAAAATGTAACTAACAACAAGGGGCTGGCTTCGTCCGCTGTTTTCCTATACATATCTCCTCTAATTTTCAAATTATTTTGTAGTAAAATCGTTTAATTTTTTACAAAATACTAAAACCTGATTCAAGGTACAACTTAATGCAGGAATCCATTAATAAATGTTAGTAACATTCGAGCATAGTTAATGGTTTTAATTATATCCATATTGTTTTATTTAGGGTTTTTTAATTGTTAAATTTATTTTTGTAAAATCCACACAGGGATAGGTGCGAATTATTAAGGACAAATGTGGCTCAAAAAAGATTAGTCGAATCTAAAAACAGCAATTTACAACAAATGCGTGAAAACGAACAAAGAAGAGAAGCTGAAAGAGAACTGGATAAATTTTGGGGTGATTTGACAAGAACTGAACAACTCGGAGTGGTAAAGCACGATAGTATAATTGATTTCATATTTAAACCATTTTTCTTTCTTAATTTCCAAAATAGACTTTCAATTCAGTTGTTATATATTTTAATGTCTAACATTAAGAAATTAAGAATCGAAATAAGGAAACTATGTATTATTATTCTTCTTCTTCGTGTTTTTTTTTTTAACATCCATCAAGTTAGCATTAGATACAACTTAAAAATTTCAAAGGTGCACAAAACAGGTGGACATGATTCTTTAGATTTTTTTATTATTTCAATAAACAGTGCTGAAAAGCATGAATAATAATCCTTTATTTAGATTGAACGAGACAGACAAGACGCTATAAACAAATACAACAAAATGTTAGAAATGAAGGCGATTTGGGAAATTCAGATGGCTGGAAAGGTATTAACAGTCGACCTATAAACGTTGAAATATTCTTCCTGAACATGTTTTTCCATTTCCTATAGGACCTTCTTAAAGAAGAGAAGAGACGCGTCGCTCTTGAAGACAGACAAGAATTGGACAGACTTATGGAACAAATACGAAGAGAAGAAATTGAAGGTAAATTGCAAGCAGTTATTATTGAATACATATACTTTGTGTACTTATGGTTGTTTTATGCAGAACTTGATAAAAAACGACGCCAACGTGATAAAGCAGCTCAAGAACTTCTCGAACAAATTAAAGCCAACGAAGAAATAAATGAACGTCGAAGAAAAGCAGAGCAGGCAGTAGATGACGCATTTAATAAACTGACTCAAATCGAATTGGATAAGGAAAAAGCTAAAATAAAAGATACAACAACACAGGCGAAGCGAGAAATGGCCATTTATAGGGAAAATCTGAAGAAATTAGAGGAAGAAAGAAGAAAAGAGGAAGAATATTTGAGTATGTTGCTAGATGAGCAACGGAAATCAATCGAAAGGAAACAGGACCATGCTAAATGTGATATACTGAAAGCTAAAGAAGCTTTGCAGAAGGTAATTAAAATAACTTTTGTTTTTCAACAAAATTTTGTTTCTTATAAACGTCAATTGTTCCTTCCATTGAAATATGCCTGGTTGCAATAGCATTATTATTCATCAATCATTCGTTCTTAATTGTATGCACTGATAAAAGAAAGATATAGTAATTTTTGAGCTAAGAATTTGCTAAAGTTCATATATACTTTTCACTCGTCATTTAGAATGTGCTCGAAGGTAGAGCGCAACAAGTAGAGCTGAAGAAACAAGAAGCTGAATATCAATTGAAACTTAAAGAAGCCGAAAATGAGTTACTGAGAATGTCAATAGCGGCCAACGAAAGGTTAGAAGCCGAAATGAAACGCAAAGAGAAGGAATCAGCTCTACTCTACAATCAACAACTGAAGGAGCAAGCTGCTTACAATGAACTTTTAAGGGTAAGTCTTTTAATTCCCTTGCAGGCCAAAGCTCGGATGAATAATATAATAAACAGTGTAGACTGTACATGAAGGGACTGTAATAATCCCTATATTTTATTCTATAAGTCCCTAGTACATAACCAGGTCACTTTTATGACAAGACCTCATGGAAAAACCAATGAACGCATTTATGTTGAATGCAATCCAACACCTTTTCCCATTGGTTTAGAAAAAAAAAAAACTTTTGGGTGTTTCATTCCCACCGGCCAGTAATGCTGGTGGGCGGGCAGTCCCTCCGGACTATGCCGGAAGGTAGGGCGGAAGGCCCTCTTCAGCCTGCTTTCAGGAATCGTGGGAATGGGTGGGTGGTGGTTCGGGTGAGAAAGATGAGACGGACGAAATGAAGACA